ATGCGCCGCAAATCCAACCATATTCGAGAGCTGCCGAATGAAATCCTACCTATAATCAAATATTTTTTGGCCAGTTCCAGCAGCTAGCAGAAGAAGGATTTTTTAACTTTGATATTGTTTTGTTACCTCGCATACTGGTAGTGACTCATCCTCGGAAACAAAACGTACCAAAATCACTTGCGTGGGGGAAAAATATGCGAACCAATAAAATCAAGAGCCGAGTTCAAAAAGTCATTTTAAACAGAAAGGGAAGAAACGGGAGCATCCAGAGAATTTGGGATGATGTAACATCTGCTTTTTTAGACAGACAGAAAAAATTGTGACAGTATAACGCGGGATTTGGATCTTTGGCAAGGCTTTCACTAAATTTCATCTTTAGGATTTTCCAACGATGCTTCCTTTAAAAAAAACCTGTACACATTTCACGCCACATTCCAAGTTGGCCACTTAAAATAATACAACTTAGTAGACCAAAGCGTCTTATTTCTTTATTTTCAGAACTCTCCTAGCACCTTTTTTTCCATCACACCATAGAAACTTCAGCATACATTTACTTCAGAAATGGTACATCAGTAGTTTGGTGAGTGCATGCATGCTCAAGTTTACATGCCTTTCATCTTTTCCGCTTCTGACGAAGCATTTTAAAATATACGTACCTCATCGAACTGGACTGAATCCTTACAGGACATAAAGATGGTACAGTTGCTGGAAAAGGACTGGTTTGCATTGCAACGCCACGGTGGTACGTAGTTCGAGAAGATCGGAAAAATCATTTGTGAGGCAAAGAAAATACTAAACTGCCAGGTAAGTAGCACAAATAAATGAAATCTGTTGATGTTGAAGAGCATCTTGTTCTTGTTGTTACTGCTGTTGTCGCTACTGCTACTGGCAAATGCACTTCTTTTAAGCAATAAAGGGGTCGCTGATAAGCGACAATGGGCAACAAATGCACTGATAAACGGCAAATGATGCGCCTCAAATAAGTAAAAAACAGTTATACTGATAAAGAAATCAGCAAAAAAACATTCATAGACGTGTTCCGAAGTAAAAAAAACAAACTACATTTGTGGTAAATTTTTTTAGTGACCTCCAATGTCGGCAAACACTTAGTATGTGCCAAAACGTGCATAAATCTTTTTTTTTTTGATTTTTTTTTAGTTGAATCAAAGTATAAGTAAGAAATGCGGGAGGTTCACATTTATGGCTTCATCCGTTCTGGCGTTATATCTCAATTTGTATTTGAACACCTGACTATAACTGAAGAACTGACGCGGTTTCAGTAGAGGTTCAAGTCTGGTTCCTCACATTCCTC